TGGTAGTGGTGGTAGTAGTAGTCGTCGCCGTCGCCGTCGCCGTCGTCGTCGTCGTAGCATCAGTAGTAGCAGCAGTAGTGGTAGAAGTAGCAGCAGCACTTGTAGCAGTAGTAGTAGTGGTAGTAGTAGCAGCAGCAGTAGTAGTAGTAGTAGTAGCAGTGCTAGTAGTATTAGTAATATTACTAGCAGTAGTAGTTGTTGTCGTCTTTGTAGTGCTAGTGCACTACCTAGCGGTAGTGGTAGTGGTAGTGGTAGCAGCAGTAGCTTAGCAATAGTGGTAGCATTTAATTGCTGCTCTTGCTCTTCCTTTTGCGCTTACTCTTGCTGTTGCTGTTGTTGTGGTGTGTTGCGAATGCTGCGGCAGCAGGGGCAGCAGCACTGCGCACTCGACACAACAGCATCTTCAGCTGCAAGAAATACGCCGTTTGTAGTGATGATGGCACCAGGACTGTCTCTTCCAAGCCAGCAAGCGAGCCGAACTTTCTACTACGCCGTCACTACGCATACGCGGACACAACATGCAGCAGAACCCGTCAAGTCGGCGCCGAAAACGTCGGAGAGCCCGCTGAGGCCGTCCCTCATCACGACGGTACCACATCCTACCAGCCTGAGCGTCGCCTGGCTGGGATCTGGTGGAAGCCATGCTGGCTCTCGGGGTCAGGCTTCGCTTCCGCTTTTCCTCTTGCTGTTTCGATTTCAGGCTTGAGCGGATTTGGGTAGAGGGGAGATGGTTGGATGGTTGGCGATCTCGCTGATCAGGGGTTTGCGTTTCGTGGCTTCTCTTGCATCAGCAGCCGGTGAACGGACTCAAAGACATTTTCTAGTGTAGCATTCTGGCCCAAGGCTGCTCAAAGTTTCCAGGCTTTGCTAGGTCAACTTTCTCGGCACCTCTCCAGACCACCATGGCAGATTTCGCTCATCATCATGATGGCCGAGTACTCCACGCAGGGCATTCCCACGACATGGAGGGCGTGGATATCTCAGAAGGTGACCCCGGCTTTGCCTTGCTTCTCACCCTGCTCGCCGGCTTGGCTACGACGGTCGGCGCATCAATTGCTTTCTGTGCCAACACAGAGGACAACCGCGTATTCGCGATTTGTCTGAGCCTGTCGGCTGGGGTGATGGCATATGTGTCCTTCTCCGAGATTCTGGATATGACGAAGCAGAGCTTCAAGGAGGCCAACCTCACAGATAGGAGTGCCCTCACACTCGGGACACTGACGGTCTTCTCTGGGATACTCCTCACTTGCTTACTAGATTCGTTTAGTCACTGGCTATGCCACAGGAGGCAGCCTGGCGAAATTGTTATAAGTGACGCCCCCGTGCCGCAAGCAGATTCCGAAAAGCCTCTGCCCGACGTGTGCGGCAAGTCCGAGCGGTTGAACATGTTGCAGATGGCTGCATTCTCAGGGATTGCTGTCGCCTTGCACAACTTCCCCGAAGGCATCGCAACCTTCATTTCGACCATGGGCGATCCCAGCTTTGGACCAGCCATGGCTTTCGCCATTGCCATGCACAACATCCCCGAAGGGTTGGTTGTGGCAGCACCCATCAAAAAGGCCACCGGCTCGAGGTGCAAGGCTTTTTCTTGGGCCTTCGCTTCCGGCCTCTCCGAACCACTAGGCGGGCTACTGGGATGGCTAGTCCTCAAGGACATACTCGGGCCCATAACCTATGGCATCTTTTATGGCCTTACGGCCGGGATCATGATCCACGTCACCTTCAAGAAACTGCTGCCGACTGCCCTGAAGTACGACCCGGACAATCGCTACACGTCCTACTCCTTCTTTATCGGAATGGCCATTATGGCTATCTCCATGATAGCCTTCAGCTGGGCTTAATTTGCAAGATTTGTGAACTGCCAAGCTCTATGACCCAAGTTAGGTTCGTTGTAGGTTTGGTTTAGCTCTGTGGGGCCCTTGTTTCTGGTTCCACGGAGTGCAGACTGCCACATTATCCGAAGACTTGTAATACACCGGAAGTTGATTTGGCCCTGCTCCCAACTTGCGTTTCTGGTTCCACGGAGAGCAGAGTTCCACATCACCCGCAGACTTGTAAGTCGACTTGGCCCTGTGGCATTCTCCGAGCTCAAGGAAGCGTGGGGAAGTGCGGGTGTCTGGATGACGTGTTGGAGTTTTCCTCTCGGTGCTCAGCAGAGAGGGCAAGCTGCACCTTCCGCAGAGAGCGAGCAACATAAGGTCGATGTTTGCGAATGTCAGTGCGCAGCTGTACTTGAAGCCCAGCATCTGCCATTATTTTCGTCCCGGAAACCGGCCGAAACCAATTGAGACTTAGATGCTCAGGTGGCGCCCGGGTCTTTGCTGGCCGCTGGCACTCCGCCATGCCTCCTGGCTCTCCTTTGTCCCACAGGGCTTTGTCACCTTCACTGGACTTACTGTAGTGCCTGGACTTCAGCGACTGTTACTTGGAAGGAGCTAGCAGCAATTCGTTGAGCGTCTTACGCACGTGGATCGGCAGTCTTTGCCATCTTGTTCTGGCAGCCAAGTAGCCTCATCTCACACTTCGCTCAAGTCGCTGCCAACCTGTTTGATTACCCCGCACATGCATCACAACATGTTTCGAATTTCCGGGGTGCAAAGCTAGAGCCCATCTTTCTGTAGTTCTTTGTTTGTTACGTATTTGTGTATTGCTTTCTATGTGTTTATTTATTTCTGTATGTATCCATCTATCTATATATGTAATTATGTATATCTGTACATGTGTGTGTGTGCGCGCATCTATCTGCCTACCCATCTATCTGTCCATCTATCTATCTGTCTGTCTATTTTTTATTTGTCTATACGTATGTATGTATGAATGTATGTATGTATGTATGTACCGATCCATCTAAAATTGTCATATTCAGTCAATATTCGGCTTGTAGTATCTCAACATATTCTGCTATTTAGAATCCAATCTCTTGAGGATTACTCGGGACCATCGCCTGTACGTTTGGGGCCACCCCAGCAATCGGAAGCTGGGCCATGCTGGCTTCAACCACGATGGCACCGAGGTTCGATCCCTTGCCAGCTGGACTAGATGTCACGTGATGCTGCTATTGCTGGGCTCAAGAGCTATTGCTACTACCGTTTGTCCTTTGGGCCGCTAGCTCAAGGGCTTTTACGCATGCAGAGGGGTATGTCCGGGACTGCAAGTGGAATTTGGAAACGATGGGTGTGGGAGAGTAGGTTGGAAGGTTTCAGGGTCAAGTCCCTTCGGTTTGGAAGGGGGGTCCTCGGTCCCTGAAACCGTATTATTTTCGGCCTGGCTTCATTCACTCACGGACCAGGCCGGCGAAAATCCGGCAGTTGGCGGCGGCAGGGCTTCGCAGAAGAACAAGGTGCATGACGGGACACGCCGCATCAAGCTGGGTGTGGCGGATCTCCTTGGTGGGTTGGTCCACTAGCTTTCTCTCCAAGTCGCCGTGTTGTTCCAGGTGGTTTATTGTCTCCTTGGTTACACCTGATTGTTTGTTTGAGAAGATCGGGCCCAACACCTGTTTTACCATTCCGCCTCATGTCTAACGACTTTATAAAGTTACTAAAGCATACGAAAGCTATTCGGTCCAATCACGCCCAAAGCCCTCATATTGCGTGGTATGTGAAGCTGAGGCCATGCTAAGTACAAAGCCTTTCATTTCTTGCCTAAGACGATCGATATAGACATGCGTACATACATACATACATACATACATACATACACACACACACACATATATATATATACATGTATGTAAAGTTTTATGTACATTCTCGATCGCATGTTTGTTGGTTTGTTTGTGTCTTTCTCTATATATATATATATACATATATTCTTTATATATTTACCTTTATAGGTGTACGGATGAAAACCGACACCGAAAGGCAAACTGCCGACCTGCAGGCACGACCTCCTGGTGTTGTCAGGGAAACGGGCTCTTGATTTGTTTGCACTCACAGCCTTTTGCAAGACCTGAGGTCGACCACGCTTGGTTTTCGCAATGCTGCACCGGCGGGTCAGGACGGCAGGGGAACGCTTTAGGAACTTTGGACTTGACTGTTATTCATTCCTATGTTGCTTGTGCTGGAAGGAGCGTAGGCTTGGGTGACGAGTGCACCGTCATCGTCTCCGGCGACGGAGGCCGCGAGCACGAGGCCGCGTAGCATTTTCACAAAGAGTTTGGATGATTCCCAGCTGAGTTTGACCCCTGGAAGTACATCCAATTGCTTGTGTCGAGAACCACTTTAATACAAGGGGTCTACAAGAGTAAAAATCATTACCGTGGGCATTCTGGTACTGAGATGTACTACTGAGTAAGAGTGCCCGACCCTCAACCTCCCCGACGTCGCAAGTCCGCCTCGCTACAGGAGGATCCGCTGATGCCGGCCACTCGACAAGCACTCCTATGGGTTTAGGGTTCGGGGTTTGGGGATGTTTAGGGTACTATAGTAAAATCTACGTAAAATAATTGATCAGCACGATTACTCGTAAGGGCTACAAATTATATATGTATTCTACAATTGTACCCCAAATCCCTAGTTGAATTAATAAGGCCCCTACATGACTGTAGCCATACTCCTTGGTGAAGCTTGCGGTTTCTTTGCCTGTCCGACAAAACCTTTTTTAGGTTCTACTGAAGATTGAGGAGTAGCTGGAAGTAGCCAGGGTTTGCAAGATACCAACTCTACAGTAGCTGTTTGTGGTCACTTACTTTCTTTACACTCTTCCCAGTAATACTACACCCTATAACTCTAAACCCTTAGAGCCTTGGGGCTATCAACTCTCACGAGCCGTTAAGAACGACCTGTAGTCTCCGATTCTCAGGGCCTCGCCTCCGTGGCTCCATCCGACATGTCCAAGGCCTCCGGGACTCTTGGCTGGGAATTTCTTTTTGTCGGAACACTAGAATTCAGTATGCACTTTCTTTTTGCTAGTAGTAGTAGTAGTAGTAGTAGTGGTAGTAGTAGTAGTAGAAGTAGTAGTAGCAGCCCCCCCCCCCTACCAACTACACTTGCTCAAAACCATGTTAGGAGCACATCCGTTTTACTCGGTATTTACAGCACTTTCGTCATGTACGATCATCATAAGCGGCCTCAAAATCCACTTGCCGAGTTTGCTAACTCGGCCTCTTGATTTTGGACTTGCTGCGGGGTGGCGGGGTGGGG